TGCTGATGGAGATGACGATGGCGATGAGAAGGAAGGGAATGAGGCAGATTGTGCTGATGATGGTGCTGTATCATTGAAGAAATGTGTCCTGTGGACTGTCCGTTCTCCCCTTCGAGTGTGCCAGAGGAGAAACTCTCCCCCATACCGTGTCCGCCTGTCATGGGCAGATAGACTGTATTGGACGATGACAACAGTTGGCCCTGACCTTCCAGAAGATCCAGTCTAACGGATGGGCTCGTCGTGAGCCCCGAGTTGGTTTGTCCGATACCACTCCCCCTGGGAGGTATGTTGGCAGTTAGTTCACTTGTGCCCGGGCCTGTGTTGTACATCAAAACCTGTCCTTCCGACTCAGCCAGTCCAGACAGAGAGACTGAGCCGGTCGAGGAGGCTGTTGTAGAGGCGGTGGCCGTGGAAACGGTGGTAGTAGTTGATAGGGCATTGGTGATGGGCACAAGTGACACGAACGACGAAGGGCAGGCCAGATGGTATTGAGCATAGGCCTCTGTGTCGTCAGCGGCTGGCTGGAATTCTGATGGGCCTCTAGCAGATGCCAAGAACTCGTTGACTCCGAGCCCCGGAAAGACGTATCTTTGCTCCATATCTGACTGTCGACCGACACCCTCTGCCAGGAATCCTGACTGCAGACTTCCAGACTCCATGGCATCAGTTTCCTCGGGGCCAAGCAGTAAAAAGGAATCGGAATCTGAAGGTGCGGAATGCGTCTTAGCAGCGGCGTCAGTGAGGATGGTGGAGGAGGAGGCAGAGCTGGAGGCCGTAGATGCTGACGAAGCAGCTATCGATGGCGTCACGCAAAAGGAGGAGATCGACGAGGAGGTGATGGCTGCCGTGGCAGCGGTGGCGCAAGAGGCGGAATGAGGAGTCGTCATGCATACGTCTTGTGAGGCGGAGGCGAGGAGGGTGGAGCTGGATGAAGAGGTGACCACAGCTCCTGTCAGATGAGCCATCAGGTCGCCAGGATAGACGCTGGATACAACTCCTCCGGCCAAAGAATTGTAGGCCTCGCAGTGGCCAGAGCCGTTAACGGTAACGACGGTGGCGTCGCTGCCCGACATAGAGGCTGGAAACATGCCAGACGAACAGAAGAGGCCCGGAGAGACAGAGCTCTCCTGCAGGCACATGGGCAGGAAGAACTGATGCGATGAAGGGAGACCTGTGGAAGATGAGTCGTTCATGTTCAGGTGTTTGTTTGTTTTGTGAGATGAGAGTGTGCATATTTGAATAAATGTTGAATTAGATTTAAAATACTTGTACTAAATTTGCAATTTAGCGCCAACTTTCTAGACTAACCCCTCTGAATGAGCTCGTCTGAATTCATCAAAGTCGTGTGCACGTTACCAGCTCGACTGGCTAGGTAGAGCTTGATCGGAGCAATAGCGAAACCGCTGATTTGGTACCTTCCAAATGGCAGTCGTCGCCATCCTCAGAACATAGTTACAACTGATCAAAGTGAAAAGTAGTGACAAGTTGTAACTCTGATGCTGGGAATCACCCTGACATTTCGAGAGCAGAGGACGCAGGAATGGGTACACTCCACAAGGTCTCCTTGTCGCGCCAAACAAGTTACGAAAACGAGGCCAAATCATGCTCCAGACAGCTAAAAGAGACTGTACCCAAACCCAAGGACACACCATCTTGGTCGTCATAGCTACGATCTACTGTTTAGGAGGCTCTAAGGATTCAATTACCCTGTAGCCAAGTCGAGTTTATCCAGCTAAACTATCAACCAAAACATCAATAAAAGACTGTTCTTTTGGCTCAGCAAAACGAAAGCTGATAGTGGAGATTTTCTCAAGATAAAATAAGTAGCATTCCAAAAGCCTCTCAAAAGATATTTCCCTCCAGGATTAACTGCAGTTTCGTCCCTACTTCTGTCTCAGCAAGTCCCCACCAACAGGAGTCAGGAACGAGTCGTACACATTTTGGTTGTACAATTTATCACTTCGCTACGCTAAGAAGTGTGTCACAGAGTAGCGATCGCTTTAAAGGCAATCTAAGTTTCTACAAAAAATCACATTTTTGTGTTGAAATTATTTACGCTTGCCATTATAATCGAAAGCTTCATATACATTCAGAATGGGTAGTTTTCAACCTATCAGTCGGACTTTTGATTATACTCCATCATCGTGTAAGAGCCATATATATTGAACAACACTAAAAATGTTCGTTATGGCTCATCAGAAAGTAAGTTTAAAGTATGTCGGGTGATAATTAAATTTTAGACAAATTTTATGATTTTCTGCCCGATTCTATTGGATTGCTGGGCAGATTGCTTCTTTAATTTAATTCCTCTCGACCGAAGCCAGCACACAAGGCTTTGTCCCAGTTGCACCCAAACATGGGAACCTTAGACGTTACTGAAGGAAAAGAGAACGGCTTAATTATCGCATCCAACAAACGGAATATCTGGCTGGATGCACAATCAAGTTTGTGTCAGTGTGTACAGAGAGCATTGCAACTGAAACCAAACGCTCTTCTTGAACCGAGACCTATGCGACATGGAATGCAGGGTGGTGGTAGGCGGTTCTAATAGAACAAACAGTGGCCTGACGCAAATCTGCCGAAACCAAAGGGATCATCTCACGTACTTTTATGGAATCATGTAGTTTTAGAGTGCATCTTCAGAAAAAAAATAAAATAAAAACAAAAAACGTCGATACTCTTTGCTTTACCGAAAACGGAACAAATGCTTTTTCGATTTCTGCATGTATAGAGTAAGACAGGAACAGAAATAATATGATTTTTTGGCGAATAAGGAGAAACAGGTTTCCAGGCCAAGCGGGCACACTAAAATATATTGAGAGAACGAGCCTATGCTTTCAGCCTCTCTAGCCCATACTTATAACCTCTCATTCATTATTCATGTGATTTGCTTCTACGTGACTGTCCGAGGACTTTAAAAGGTAAGGGCACAAGACAAACTGGGAGAATTCAGCTAATTCGGGTGAATCACAAATTAGGCGAAAGAGAAATGTTCAGGGAATGGAAGAAGAACTATTTCAAATGCAACCCGTGCATGAGGCTCCGGTTTAGTTTTGACGTTTGGCCTACCCGAGGTAGAAAGCTGTTGCGTGGGCAGAGTGAAGCATGTCGAGCTGAACATGCTTGGATCTCTTCGCTGCGTCATCAGGCTCGAGCCTGACTCGCCAGAGCCGAGCTGCTCACCCCCGACTGACCCCGGCATACAGAAGAAGCCGGTTGGTGACTCCACAAACCCTGAAGCGGGTTGAAGATATGCCTGCTGATGTCCAAGGGTCTGATGATGTCCCAGATATGGTGCCTGGAATCCTGAGACGATGTCCAGAGAATTGGCCCCGGCGCCTACCATGCCAGGTTCATTAAAGAAAGCCGCATTTGCGGAAGCCAAGGAGTTGGCGGAAGCCAGAGAAGAGGTCGACGAGGAGCAGGAGGACGAAGAGGAGGAGGAGGAAGAGGAAGAGCTTGACGAAGACGAGCAAGAGGAGGAGGAGGAAGAGGATGAGGAGGAAGCGGCTGTGTTAGATGAGGCCAGATTGAAGAAGGCACACTCGGTCATCTCTGAAGCATGTGGCGCCAGCTGAGTGGGCGGGACTCCGCCTGAAACTGCGTTTATGAAGGAAAGATCGAGAGCTGTCGGTGCTACTGTCATCGGCGCCCCATCCCCAGCATGTTGCTGACTGCCCAGCAGTTCTGTGGCTGTCTGCAGGAATCCGGAAAGGTCAGGGGCGGGCGCAGGAGGTGCGAGGTGTGAAGCAGTGCGAGCATTCGCTTTTCCCAACATACCAGGACTATGGCTGCCATGGTGACGTTTTCCGCCCTTCCCACCACCGGTACCACTGCCTGCGATGGTTGAAGCTGCTCCGCCTCTGCCAAACTGAGTGGCTATAGCTCCGGACGAACTGGAAGAAATGTGAATGGATAGACCACCGTTGCTACTGGAGTTGCAAGTAGCAAGTCGACGCACAAGAGAATTACGAGTGGAGCTTGAGCGAGCCAATTGAAGCACTTCTTCCACAAAGGCATCCGTCCTTCCGGCGACATGGGTTGCTGAAAAAAAGAAAGTGGCAAGAAAGTTGGTGAGAGGATGTTACAGAAAAATGACTTTATTGACGATTGTCCAGGACCAATGCGCTAGATGCTATTTATTTGGCCCGTTGAAAGACTTTTTACCATTTTCCCTTTAGGATTACGGGGACTGAAAACGATTCCGTCGACTAATAATTGGGGTGAAGGCTTGATTTGTATGTTAATTCTCTATACCATTCATACCGACAGCACTAAAGCCATTCTTGTAATTTGAACTTCAGTGAATTACTGGATAAAGATGCGCTTTATGCTAACTGATGCCTCTTTCGTCGACATACTAACCACTGTTCAAAAGATGGGCCCTAAACATAAATTGATGCAGTTATTTCAGGTGGGTTCCATCTCAAAGATGTGTTACGCTAAGGTGCACTCTATTATTCTGCAAATGAGAATTCTAAAAAAATCGTATAACATATTGTTTATCAATCACTATCCTATAGCTAATATTCACTTTGGATGATGTCCGAACTCAGAATATTTTAACTCAGAATCATGTTGCTAGTGAGCATGCGAACAGTTTGTGGAAGGAATGCAGGCAAACAAGCATAATTGGCAGCAACTTCCGTTAACACAATCCTGTTCATACCTGTTTGTCTGTATTTCAGCCCTTCCCCCCAAGCCTCTGAGCACATAGGCATGAATTCATAAACAAATATAGATAAATCTATTTGCTTGTAAGGGCCTGAAACTGCTTGATACTTCTCACAGTTTTCAGAATTTCTTCACGCTTGCAGTTAATTTTGGAGTTGTCCAATTTCACCCAGCATTTTTTTCTTTTTGCTCCATCTCGTATTTATGCATACGCAATTATTCAGTTGTCGTTAGCTTCCAGCCAAGATTCGGAAAATAATATTGTTAGATGGTTTATTGCCTACATTTATTGAACTCTAAATGGATTACTAATGGCATATTTGCTGCCATGCTTTCCCTTATATTCAAAAATATTTTGTGAGAAAGCGCATGAAGAATTTCGTGGGTTTGTCTCACCAGAAGACGATGGCGTATTCCTTTAACTCTGCCATTCTATTTTCCTCAGAAGTTTAGACCGATCCAGTCATCAGCAAAGCCCTCTTCGCTTCCGGTGAAAACTTGCAGAGCTTTGGTCTGTAAATTGGCACGTTTTCATCCGTACCAAAGGAGGCCAATTTCGAAGAATGTGCTAGCCCTAACGTTTCAGAAAAATCAAACAGCGGACCAAAAGGAACCCATTGTCAACAAATTTCTTGAGCATACAATTTGATTGGAAATGAAAGCCAATCCAAAAGTGATAGTTAAGGAGATTTGGCGAAAACCAGTTACTTTACGTATTCACAGATTTTTTTGAACATAAAAACTAATTTTCAAGGCCTTAGTCGAGAGATTAGTGAGACTGCTAAACATAGGCTCAGCTATTACAAATGAAAGCTAGTACGATTGAATTAGTTGTCTTGCCCCAAAAGACCAAAACAGTGGTTTCCGATGTAGTAATGTATATTAATCCGGCATTTTATGGCAAGAGAAGCCGGAGAGAAGTGATACGAAAGAGATATTTACGATGCCGGCGTCGGTAGATCATGATACTTTTCGAGGTCTAATTTCGTCATTGGCTCAAGTGACAGAAATACTGTTGCGATTACAAATATGGAAAAACTGGTTGTAATAGTATAGTTGAGGGTGTGGAGGAAGAAGCATGACTTCGAGGACAGGAATAAACTTTTGTTGTTTTTCGTATCACAATTAGCTTTTAGAGACTACCAGTAGATCTGGTATAAGAGCTTAACAGAAACAACGTGAATCCAGCTCTTATATCAGATCTACTGGTAGTATCAAAAAACCAATTTATGTAACGAAAAACAATTAATATAGTCTATTGATAAAGCAAATACAACTTTGCTTCGTCGACAACCCCACCACAGAAATTTGATATGAAAAAGGCCTTTCTAGAAATTTACTTCTGCACTATTACCCACGAGCTCTCGTAGAAGCGTAGGGTAGTGGTTACCGTGTCGAGGACATAAGTTGCATTACTTTAACTCTGGTTCGATTCCCGCTGGGGAGGCGAGATCAAAAACGCAGTCCACTTCAGCCTGGAGGAGGACACCTTTTAGGAAGCAAGGCTATGTAAAATGCAATGGAAATCTGAGGTCTAGTCAACTAATTGTGGGAGAATTCAAGTACCAGTCCTTCACACCTTAAACTAAATGGAATGAATAAAAAATTTAGTTGCCCTAAGGAAAGACGATTGTACTTTAACGATCTTCATATTTGCGATGCTTGTGAGGCAGTTATGTCAGTGGAGAAGTTGTGGCACTGGTATAGTGGGGACGTATTCGTCAACATTGATCATGATGGTGAATACGTGTATAAGTGCAGGTAATTGTAATGTCATGATAAGTCCATTCGGTTAACAGGTACTCAGTTGAAATGTATTCGAATATTCTGCAAATAAGAATTTTAAACGGTTCGTCTGATATGCTACTACTAATATATCTATCAGTAGCATATACTTAAAACTTGTCATCATTTAATTTCTGTCTTCCCTGAGGGCCAGGAATGGTCTAAACACGAAGAAAGTGCGCATAGCACAAGCAATTTAGTGAGCAGAGGGAGTCGAATGTAAGTAATTTCGAATATGTTTACTTCTTTTGCCAATGTGAAAATCACTTTGCACCGATTCCGGTTGCCTGGCAAATTAATTGCTCAGCCTAAGTAAGCCGATCGCTTCACAACTTTCCACTCAACTCGGACACTTACTGTGCAGGCTGGCTTTTAGTTTAATCGCCTGCTCATACACTCCCTCCACCATGTTCGGCACATCGGGTTGAGTAAAACCGCCGGTCGCTGTAACAACGGCAGCAACCGCGGCAGCAGCGGCCGGCGTTGTTGCTGTCGTATTCGAAGCCCGGCCGTTTGGCTCGGTTCGGGCTCCCTCTTCGTCAGGCAGTGTACTGGAAGAGGCGGTGGAAGAAGAGTCGAGAAGACGTGCAAGTGAAGGACTGAGACGT